AAATGTTAATTATTGTAATATTTTAATATTTAATAAGAATTTATTGTGATTAGACGGACAAGATTTAATATATACAGTGTTAAATAAAAATAAGAACAGATTCCATATATTAATAGATCTGTCTTTGTACGTAGGGGTTAAAATTGAGTTGCTAGCCTCTGTCGAATTATTGGACCGATATTGACGTTAAACAGGTTAGGTAATGTCTGTTGTGGTCTTTCGTGTTCTGACGCGAAGTTACCAGCGTTTCAAAGGAACGTATTCATTCTGTATTCGGGATAAGAGCGTGTTACTTTCGTCTTAAATGTTGGTAGCCCCAAGATCGTACGATGGCACAACACAGAAGGCATTTTTATCTTCCTTAGAATTTCTTATCTCAAACGTCTTAGCTTTTGAATCTGTATATCCAATAAAATTATTTTTAAAAACACTAAGACGACGTTAGTGAAATACAGATATCAACAGAATAAATTCACAACTACTTTTATTTACCTAAATTTTGAATCTCTTATTCGTTTGGGCTAATCAAAAATGGATTTTTGAATTCAAAACGATAAAACAGCCCATCTCACTAAGAAAGACCTTTGTCCTCTTGTTATGTTGATCAAATCAAAAAGTATGATATATCGAAATTTGTTTGTTCGTTGGGTCAAATGCGCTTTGTAGCACCAGGACGAAGTACCTAAGCATAGTATCGAGGTCACAAACCAAATAAGTGTAAAAGCAACCTGAATGGATCAGTCAGTGAGCCGAAACATAGATGGGAATATAATATTAAAATGTATCTCAAAGAAATTGTTATATCCAGTATTACTTTGTAAGTGGGATTAATCTAGTTCAGGACATAAGTCGTTAATGAGCATTTAGATTAAATAAATTAGTGTGAATTATTTCCCAGCTGAGCAACTACAAGCATCTTTAAACGCCATACCTAATGGAATTATCAGAACCAAGACGAGTAACAGAATGAAGATCGATCTATCGATCAAACCATCGATCGATCGATATTATCTTGCTGCTGTTGTTACTGTATAGGAAATTCGTAGCGACGAACCTGAGTAGCCACTCGTGATGTTCTGTTGTTTTCAGATGCACGGGTATGACTTGCACGGGGCGCCGCCCCCCTCACACGACCTCGGTCCCCCGCCAAGCGACATGGCGCACCCAGACTCGACGGATTCATACGTCACCTACCTGGAGAGTGATGATAGTTTGCATCACGACACGTCCAGCCCATAACGCGGGCTCCAACGTCTACTGTCGCTGTCCAGGTACCTTAAAGACCTCAGAAATCCCTCTATATCTTGCTCGAGCTGTTACACTTCCGTCTCTAGCGTATTCGTGTATTCCTGTCCAACTGTGTAGTTACTCTCCGCAGGATGTTCGTGGAGACAATCTTACCCTGAAACAAAATCCTTAAGCTGTCTGGCGCAAATCAAAAATGTGGCATTGTCGTCTTACATAAACTCACCTTCCCTTTGTTTCAATTTCCAAATTTTACAGCCAAGTTAAAGAGATGATAAAGTTGCGTCATTTTGTGATAAATATATATTTGTTTAAATTTGTCAGTCTAATCACAAAAGTTCCTATTAAATATTAAATAAAATAAAATAAAATAAAAAATCTAGAAGAAAACATCATTTGAAATCCGAAAAACATCTGACTAAAAGTTGCATTTAATAAATTATATTTAAGTTTATATAATTTTATACACCTGAAGATGGTTCTTATAGAACTGAAACATGTCGTGTAAAAAAGTGTTGATCTAATGTAAATCGAACATTTCGATAGAGAACATCATTTAATATATTTTAAATATTTAAATGTTAATTATAGTAATATTTTAATATTTAATAGGAACTTTTTGTGATTAGACTGACAAATTTAAACAAATAGCCAAGTTAAACTAATGGAAAAAAAAACAGAAGGAAATATAATTTCATTTATGACTGATTGTCTTTAAGCTAAATGTGGGATGGGATATCCCTTTATAGTTAATTTGAAATTGTACATAATTCAGTATTGTTTATCCTGTACTATCTTCATTGTTCTATATATAAAAATAAATTCACTAAGTTTCAATGACTGGATCTACTACCATCTTCAGGTGGGGTCCTTAAGAAAGAAAGAGGCAGGCTCTGTTTTAATAAAGAAAATTATGGAGATAGTCCAGAAGGAAAACAATATTAAATGCAATTCTAGATTCACGTTTTATTTACTTGTAGCAGTAATTTTTAGAGTCAGTCTTCTTATAAGAACTTGTTCTTAAAATCCCATTATTTTACGTTTTACTGAATATTTCTTGTTCTAAACTGTTTTGTACTTTTACGTAAAGTAAATAATTCCCTCTGTAAATCGTCTTTGCCTGATATAAGTAGACCTAGAGTAGTGTATTAAATATTATATCGTAATTTAGTTCAGACGTATTTGAGTTCATCTGATTCCATTAAATAATAATATAATCTGTATAAATATAAACGAAATATTAAAGAGCAGAATATGCAAGTATTATTCTTGGTTACAGGTTCTGCCCTGTGCTTCCTATAGGAGAAAGCACTTTACTCCAGCCGACAGCATCAGC